AAGAGTAATCAGCGATTAACGAGATCGAGTCAGATAAGACGGAAAGTCTCACCAAGATACAACCCAGCGGATAACTTCTCGAATTCCTGTTAGCCCGGCCTCGGACTCGCTTCAACGATTTTCTCATCGAATTTCGTCCGCGGGCAATACGCAATGCGCATTATCAAATGCGCCGTACTCGCAATTAATCGCCATTTTCTTCCCGTCATACCCACATGCCTCCCTGCTAGCATCAAGTTTGCGAATATCGGATACACTAGCCATGTACGCAGCACTACATCCCGTGCCAAAAATCGCGCCGATGATGGTTTTGGGATCGGTATATGCGGTTGAAGGACAGTCACTCAGCACTGTGAGGGCGCAGCTTGTGGACTCCAGTTCTATGCACGCTCGACTAAGCTTAGTGTGCCTTGCATACATTCATCTGAGCGCATTCGATAGACCAGCCGAACATCACTATGATCTTCACAAGCGCCTTCGAGACAGTAGCTTCGCAGACTACGCATGTCAAAGCTTTGATCATCATATTGTGAAATGCAAAGACATTTCTCCGGATGCTGTGGTACAATTGGAGAAACTCTTTCAGAAAGAGATCTAGTACCTTGCAGCCGTTCTGCAGATAAAGATATTGCGAGAGGGTTCGACTATGGCAGCGCTATACGACACTTTGATCGTTTGCAGTTCTCGGTATCAGCTAGCACAATCGTCTATGGTACCAGTCTGTACAACGCTCCTTCTGTAAGGCAGCGTTGGGTGGACGATGCACCCCCAACATATGCATTACACCTCGTATCTTCTGCAGGGCTAAACAGTGCTGTTGTTCGGCTGCGCAGAATGCGACGTCAATGAGAGAGACGGAAGCGGCGGATCTCCACTGTACCACGCATGTCTCGAGGCTCACTTGGATGTTATTCACATGATGCTGAGCGCAGGTGCGGACGTCAACGCGCAAGGCCGACACTTCGACAACGCACTCTATGCGGCTTCAGAGGGAGGCCACGAGACGGTGGTGAAGCTGCTGCTCGACAAGGGCGCCGACCGCAACGCGCAGAGATGTTTGTGATTGGCCGGATACTTTTCCTTAATAGGATAGTTGCTGTTTAAAACATGTAGCACGATAGTAAGTTCATCATATAGCAATACACAAAGCACGCTGGTAGCTATGTTTACGTGGGTGTAATGAAAGAAGGCGTGGCAAATTTGCCACGACAAACTATTAGATGGCCGACCCGCTCCTGCCACACCCTTGCCATGAACGTCCGCATTGGATTGTGTTGCGAAGAAATATAAGGGTCATTTTTGATGACAGGACGGCATGTAGCCTTAGAGAGCGTAGTACCATAGTAAGCACAGCTTCATCAGATCTCTGCTCTACCCTTACCAGTGCTTATAGGTATCGAATGATCCAAACTCCTCATCACCCTTAGAGGTCAAGCTAAGCACCTTTCTACAGCCCTAATGATTGCAGTGCTCATGCAAGGAGCCATTTGTTGTATAACTGTGCGACAGCTATATTCCTAAGACATGCCGACCCTTCCACCTTTGTACTTGCTTGCACAACGGTGTTCTTCCAGTAACACTCACTACATTTGCTAAAGCCTAGACTCAGGTCTTTATATTCTGTATCATGCGTACATGTATCGGTTGCGATGTGCTCAGGAAGTACGAGGATGTGGTGGGTTGGACGAGGGATCAGCGGCGGGTCTGCAGAGCTAGAGGGCGGCGCGATGGGTTATCTCTACAGCATGCAAGCTTTGGCGTTAGCTATAGTCGTGCATCGCACACGTCTTAAAGTTGCACGATAGCTGTATCGGAAGCTGCTTGCGGTTTCGATGCTAGGTGTGTTCGTTGACATGAGCTATACGCCAGGCCTTCCAACCCAGCCCTGCTCCTAATCCAAACCGGTTTTCGGGTGTCCTGGCGCGCTTGGCAAAAGCGATGTACAGCCACATAGCCCACACTGCCCCAGATCTAGCGTCAGCAATAGATTACAGCTAAGCTGCTTTAAGCTAGTGTGTGAGTCTTCTTTATCTGGCACTTCAAGCAGGCGGACTTGGAACTAGCACAGAAGCACAATAGCCTCTCGAGCTTAAGCGCCGTGCTCGGGATAGGATGATGATACAACAAGCTGTAAGTTGACGGACTTTGGGCAAGATGCATGAGCTTTCGACGCACCTACTGCTAGCTAAAGCGAGGCGGTCGCGTGATGCTTATACCAAATTGTCGTATTGCACGGCAAGCCGAACCTATTTCTAAAAGACATTAAGGAGATAATACTCTTTATAGCTTAAGGCTGCTATTCCGAGAATATATATTCTTATGTCGCATGCCAAGCGCTTTCGTAAACCTAAACTCTGTTACTAAGCATGTGTCAGATGAAGTAAGCGATACTGCATCGTGGACGGTATCACCTATGTATCACCTAGGTATCACCGACGTATCAGGTTTATGTTCAAAAAGGAGAGAGAACAGACCAACGAAAAACAACAATGATCAAGACATAATCCATCATCGCAATCATAAACTTCTCCTGAGCTCATTTTCAGCATTTTAATCTGACAGAAGGCTTGGAGGGAGAGATTAATGATATGTCCGATGCATCGGATGCGGCGATGTTTAGCGTTGAACTTAATCTGCTTAGTAGTTAGTACTAGTATTGAAGCTTTCATTAAATATATCTTTGAGCTCAAATAGTTAAAACTAACCTCATGCTTAGCAAGTAGGTTCTTTTCAAGGTGCTCTACGCAAGTGCTATTTGAAGCAGCATTATCACCTGTGTACCAGCCTATTTTGGACTGGATATTGAAAGTTTCGAGAACGTCAAGGATAAGGCTGGCTTGCTTCTCTCCGGAATGGGTGAATCGGCATTCTGGCAATCCCAAAAGGGCTTTCTGGAGGACATATTGGCTATCTACCCATTGGCCACAGATAGCTAGTAGAGAGTGGAGATGTGGTGAGGTCCATAAATCAGTTGTTAGATGAATCGGGCTAATAGCAGTGGCAAGACTATCTCGAATCTGACCTCTGTAGAGTGAGTAGTTTGATGCAATATAACGAACAGCAGTGCGGCGAGATGTAATGAGTAGGTCTTCAATAAAGGGATTACAGGAGAGCGCTAGATCCTTCATCCCGCTCCATTCAACAGACTGAAAGGGCATCCGGCGTCGTGTGAGTAGTCCGATAACGGCCTCACGATAGCCTTGCTGGTTGAAGGCATTCCGAAGGGCTGCCTGGGAGGATAAAGGCGTAAGCATGGTAGTAATCTCTCGCTGTATTGTAGGCGTGGTCTGAGATAATTGAGATGCCGCACACATTGAGTGACTGCCTAGAACATGTCGAACGGCGTTGCCGCGGTGATGACTCTTCCATGAGCAGAGCTTGCAGGAATACTGGATCCTGTGACGCTTACGGTGCGCATTCTGGACGACGATATGGTGAGAACGGATAACGGCATCGAAGTGCGCTGGTTCTGATGGTATTGATGTCTCATGTGTTGATATTGAAGATGTTTCAGACGGCATTTCGATAGTGGGTTGAGGGTTAAAAGTTGTAAACAGTAAGCATTAAAGTGATTTAAAGGACTAACAGGGTCTCTTACGGACTATGTAACGATCAGAGGAGAAGGCGAGAGGCAATAAGACAAAGTTGACTGTATTGAGTTCTACCAGCATTCTTAGAGCTGTACTTGTAGTCGCTACGTTGACTAGGGTATGTATTAAATGCGCGGGATGCACGGGATTCCTAGTTTCATGTACAAAAAGTAAACATCCTGTTACACCAACACCACTAAATAGCGAATAAGTCCGGGTCCTGCTATACTGTCACAGATAAACGCCACCCAGAACGCCAAGAAGGCATTATTAGGTTATTATCAGGTTAACGGGTTAAAGAAAACGGCATAACTGGTTAACAGGATAACCTAATAAGGATGCATAACTGGGTTAAATCCTAATTAGGTTATAAATAACGGGTTATAGTGCCCAGGTATGGGATCAGTTAAAGAGATGTGGTTTAGACTGTCCCGACATGCTCGAGATTGATCGACCTCAATAGCACTATGCTACACGAATAACAAGTGTGCAGTACGAAGGCCTTCCTTCGTGGGGGGGAGCGAGAGAGGAATCGCATGGTAACTACGGCACAAACTGACCCGTGACATCGGATCCTGCCAATCACGGTACGCGAGGATTTTGACGCTGGGATGCATGCTCGCAACGCACGACCTGCCAGCATGAAGTGATGGGAGAGATATTGTCGACAGTGAAGTACGTCATTCGAACGTGAAGGCTGCAGCAAGTACAGACAGCGCTATAGGGCTGCGTTAATCTGGTCAGTTTTAGGCAGAGCGCAAGAGCAGAAGACCCTGCCTCGCAAAAAAAGAAGACCCTGCCTCGCAGGACCGTGCCACGATCAACGCATGTACCAGGGAGTCTAGAAGCGGTATATAGAGCGCATTAGTCTACAGTAAGTACCCCAATCTTTAATGCCGTCGCGGCGAACTGTAATGGCATCTTGAGGGGCTTGGGAAGGCAGGAGATTGGGGGATATGTTGGGCTGTTTGCGTATTATGCCGTAGGCATTCCGGTTAGTTTGTGCACGGGGTTTGGGGCGAAGTGGGGGCTGTATGGGCTTTGGAGTGTAAGTTTTCCTTTCTGAGCGATATGCAAAGAGAGACGTTGCTAATAGAGAATAGGGCCCGGCGATTGCGTTGGGCATTGTGGCGTGCGTTGAAGGGGTGTTTATTTATCGAACGAGCTTTGAGAGGGCCGTTGACGCGGCGAAGATGAGGAATGCGGCGGGGTGATGGGATGGTGGTTTGTGGTTTAGCGATTGCATGTAGATAGCGTTAGTTTGACGGCGTATTTGAATTCACAGATACAGAGAATCTAGATTGGCAGGTAAACTCATCTCACGCTACTAGTATAGAGTCAAGTCTACGGACTTGCATACGGACCTTACACGACCTCGATGGGACATTGTGAGGCGTGCCTCGCGGTGATCTAAGACTGCTGCCGTTCCCACCGGTAGGATCTATCAACTTTCTCCTGCACACATTCCTCAAAATGCTCGCGGTCTACGTATCGCTCTCCATTGAGCACATCGTCCCAGCGCTCTTGCAGGCCATCACCCCACGGCACACGTCCAATCTGGCGAAAAAGCTCATGAAGCTCAGCATCCGGACGCCACGTGCCGACTTTCCACCATAGATGTGGAACTTGTACACTAAAGTTGTCTGGTTCTTCATTATAGCGAGGCTCGCCTGGCGCCACGTAATTCACTCCCCAGGCGAGTGAGCTCGGTTCGTATCCCACATTTACACAGTCGGGCATAGGGATGTTTTCTTCGCCGTCTTCGTCTACACCCGGCTCCCACGAAAGAGGGCACCAGAGCACCGCTTCTTGGAGGGCCCGCATGTTCGACGCTGCCTTGGCAAAAGCGGCAAGGAATGGGCGTAGTGTAGTCTCATTCGGCACGACGCGGACGTGGAAGTTCTGAACGATGCCCTCTGAGCGTCGGTCTCCCTCGAACGTAATAATGTGGTCCATGTCTCTGTCATAGTCGGTTGTCTTCAAGGGAGGGTATGAAGCATCAGTGACTTTGGTTGCAGCCGTGTTGCGACCTTCGCCGTTTGGTCCGACAAAATACCATTGTCCCGACGGGCTCACCATGTGGAACATGACGACGAAACTTTCCAGATTCGGCCAAGAAGAGGTGCAGTTGTCCTTGGGCATGAACAGCGTTTCGTCCGCGACTACGCGCAAGTGAAGCCGTCGGAGATGATGCGAGAGGTGGTTTAGGCCGGTGCTGAACAGGTCGCTACCCGCTGGGCTTACCATATCAGGTTGTGCGGTGAGATGGTCGATATTCGTGATATCGTGCATGGAAAAAAGGAAATCGAGGCGAACGCGCCGAAGTGATTCAGGCAAACGCGCAGCCATCAGAGCTTTTGCGAAATCTTGTCTGGTATCCCGGCGTGGTCCAGCCCAATCTTGCGTGAAATATTTTGCCGCTTCTTGTTCGGTCTTCGGGGACCATTCATCCCCTCCAATTTGGCAGCCCCAGTAGTCGAGATTCGGCAGCTTTACGACGAGGTCGACCATCACACGGTAGTCCATCTTCACATGCCCCCAATTGAAGTCCTGTCCTGAGCTTTCCCTGTACCATTCACCTCCTACCCCCAGGGAACGAACCGATTCAAGTGACGGCAGTGCGTCGGGTTCCAACAAATGGACGCGCCAGCTCAGATGATGATGGATCGAGAGCGAAGTTCCCCAAGATATCTTTCTCCTAGGAGAGCCAATTTCGAGCCGGACTGTTCCAGGTCCATTGTTGGGCCCTGCACGTTCTTCGACAGTTTTGACAGTCTTGAATAAGAACATGATTTGCTGAGTGAAGCTCTGGTCATGTTTGCTCAGTTGTTCCGCGTTGTCGCGATCCTCCTCGTCTTGTGAAGGGAGGATAATTTCGAACTTCACATCGCGCAAGTACTGGAGCCGATGGCTAGAGAAAGTGTCGATGAACTTGTCGGTGGTCTTCTCTTTCAGGTCGAAGCTTGTGAACGCCCCAGAGTATTTTTCGGCGGGAAAGCGGAATGCGTGAGACAGTAATAGCGTGTTCTTGAGGTCATCGCGAGAGAGATAACTACTGATGCGATCGACCAGTTCCTGTGGAAGCTGGTTCATAGTCGCGGATTGTTTGCGAGTAGCGAGCGAAGTGGAGGTACTGGTCGAGATTTTGAGTACGCAGGGGGAATCGGCCGTGTATTATTCACCACGGTCGCCGCAGTTGACTACTTTTCTTTACTTACTAGCGTAGCGACCGCTCCAACTTCAACATTGAAAATATCAACCGCCTCGTGCGCGTCTCTCCACCTACGAGTGAAAGTACAGGGGTTGAGGGAGGCTGGCGTGATTTGTCCCCCCTTTGAGATTTGTCCCCCGCGCTAATCACATGTGTACTAGCGCGAGCGTAAATCATAGTAACTAATGCGTATCACTATTCAACCTTTTAAAAGAAGGTTAAAGCTAAACTGTTTATATTGTTAACTTATAAACTACTATTCTCGTCGCTTCTTACGCGGGCCAAGGCTCTTCCAGGCCTCAGGAGCCGCCACCGCTGCAGCACGTTTGGGCCGCGGTGTAGGCACCTCTTGAGGCTCATTGAGCGCATTCTGAGCATCGACCTGCGCGAATCTCTCAGCATAGAAAGCTTCCATGTCCCCAAAATGATAGTTCCAAGCCATAGTTGGTGTACATGAACCGAAAAGTCCCTGCGAAGCCAGAGCCATATTTCGTGCTTCTACTAACTCTGCCGGGTCTCCTTCCTGACCCGTTTGCGCCAGAAAGTTGGTCGCCGAGATTATGTCATTACAATCATATAGAACAGGCTCGGACTTTCGGCGTTCAATGTCCACTAGAAATTCTTCTAACGTCGGAGGCTGCCAGACAGGAGGCGGAGTCACAGTTACAGACACAGCAACAGCGACAGGTGGAGACAAGCGAAGTGAAGTGGGGGGAGGTAGAGGGGCAGGGGCAGGAATCGATACCGATATGCAGGTACTGACTAGATTTATCCCTGGTTCAGGTGTAGGGACTGATATAGTGACAGAGGTGTTGGCTTCTTGCAAAGCTTCAGCAAGTGTCTGACCTTGCGGTTGATAGTGAGGCTGGAACCGAGGAACGGAAGGCGGCACACGCTGTTCGAAGGCCGATGGATTCCGACGAGCAGACTTGTCAACAATCAAGTCAATCAAGTTTCAGCTTCCGGCTTGACTTGAGGCTTAAACATCTGTTATTAGGCTTGATTGATTGGCTTGTTTGCAGTATTTGACTTGAGGCTTGATTGAGAGCTTGATTGGCTTGATGTTATACAATTCGACTGCTTATACCAAGTCCTCGTTCTCGTGGTCCCAATCGCACAATCGATATATAGCGTCTATATCAGCGTCAGTTACAGTCGCTGTGGCAGCGCTATCGCCCTGATCAAAGCCAGCCCTATGCCACCGCCGTACGCACTGTATAGCGGCTAATAACTGAGGCGAGATCTGCCGTCTCCGAGGCTCAAGGAGATCGCCAAGCTCGCTGAACATGCGCTCACACTCGCAGCTTGAAGCTGGGATAGAGAGCACGTCAATAGCCATCTGCGCAAGGTTGGGGTAGCGATCACGCAAGCCTACCCAGTATTAAATAGGGTGAACCGCAGCGTAGCTACCCTTACTGGCCTTCGGTTCGCACGCCTTCCACCTCTCGTACTCATCCATATAGCCGTCGGTAGCAGCGATGGCGCCATCTGGGTCTAGGAGAGCATCAATTGCGTCGTCGATCTCGTTAGAAATAACCTTTGGGCGCCTTACAGCACGCGGTAAGGTGTTGTACTCTGCCCAAAGCTCCTGAAACGCGCGGTCATTAGCCTCTAGCCACTCAGGTTTGTCCGCCTAAGCGACCTCGCAGTACGTTTTGTAGCGTGGATGGAGTAGAGTTGCAGCGTAGTACGCGGGTGAGAGGTCAAGCTTGTTGTAGTAATCACTAGCCTTCGCCTAGGCAGCGCGGAGGTTAATCGCAAGGTGGTCTTCGGGCGCTTCGTCATGCGCGTTATAGTCAACAGCCTCATAGGCTTCCACGCGTTGCTCGTAGTACGTAAGTATATACTCAAAGACTGGGATAACCTCAGCGATAGCGCCGTAATGACCGCCTCCAACACGACCCTCAGCGTCTTTGCCACGTCCTTCCAGGCGCTTTGTTGCTGACTTCAGCGGCTTCAAGACGTCGATATACTCGGTAACAACTGCCCAGTCAGTAGCTGTGAGGCCGCTAGACCGCATCCAGACCGCAGCCTCAGGTAGCTTGTTGCCACGGCTAATCGCATATGTATCCTCATCTCGCACGCGACATATATGATAATGGGCATAAGCGTTGACAGCGGGCTGCAGCTTAACAGCGCGCTCAAAGGCGGAATAATACGAGTTCCAGCGCGTAACGACTGGCTTGACAGGTGCAAGTACTTCGCGCTGATTAGGGGGCAGCTCAGCGTTAGCTAGGCGCTGGAACTTTTCAAAAAGCTCGAGCTGCTGCGGTGTTTTGATGTAGATGATCACGCTAAGAAGTACGCCAAGTGGCCCATCCTCGCGCCAGTTGCGTAACAACTCGCTCTCAACAGCAAGCTCGCTGCTATCGTTATCATACGCATCGTTATTGCTACCCCAAAGTAAAGCCTGACCAATCAAGTTAAGAGTATAAGCACCGCAGCGGAGGCGACGATGGGCAGCGTTGAAGCCCATCTGCTGCGCGATGCTGAGGACAGCAGTGTCGTTATTAGTAGCGTTGTTAAGCATAAAGTAGCCAACAGTACGCGAGTTGATGCCAAACTGCTGTAAAGTTTTGCTAACAACCTCTGCAATCTTCTCGCTAGTATGCGTGCCCGTTAGTTGGGGCAGCGCGATAGGGAGGTCTATAAGGTCACTAGCGCTGTTAACGTAGTGCGCAACAACGCCTAGGAAGCCGCGTTTACCGCCTTTTGTTGTCTAACTGTTAAAACTGATGTGAATCTTGCTAAGGGCCTTCGACAGATTAATGACAACCTGGGGTAACATAAGGTCGAAACGACGCATCACGTATCGTGAAACGCTTGCGTGAGACGTCCACAACGCCGTAGCTGCCTCTACGTTTGCAGCTTCAAGCATCTGTCGAAATGCGGGCTTTTGAAACTCAGAGAGCGGGTGGTTGCCGTCGACAAGCCAGGCGACTGCGGCATGTCGAAAGGCCTGACAATCAAAGCCCCCTAGTTCATTAGCAAGGCCCTGCGATACCTTAACGCTAGCGGCTTTTAATAGGGCGCGCAGGCCGCCTTTGCCTGCCTTCATTGTGCTGTGCGTTTTACTAGGAGCTGTAAGGTTATGGCCGCGTCTAACTTGCTCAAGATGGCGGGCTGAGGTTGTTGTTGATAGCGTCGTTTCGTATATACCGCCCTGCCCAGCGTCTATCCACTTGCGCTGATAGCAATAGCGACAGACGAAAAAGAGACGATCGGGGTCCTTGATAAGCGCAACGCGGTATCCATAGCGGTATATCCAGCTTTTGCGCTGCTTCTGGGTGGTTACAGGCTTGCAATATAGCGGCAAACGCGACCAGTCTATGCCGTCAAAGTTGTCGGCAAAGCGCTCATCAAGACCCTTGTCCCTATCCTCATTGCCGTCCTCGTCATCCTCAGTTATAGCAACCGTCGCGGCGCTGCTGCCCTCGGTTAGTGCTACGATAGCGGCTTCAGGCTGGCTCTCGCGCAACTGCGACTCGAAGGTAGGCGGCTCGGTGGCCTGGGACGCGGCAGTCGCCAGGGCTTTGCGCGGTAATAGACGCTAAGCTGGCTGTTGGCTCTTGTCGATGTCGATAGGCTGCGACTCTGTACCACGAGCAGCAACTCTAGCGCGCTTGTTTGGTGCAAACGCGTCTCTGCGCGGACGTTTAGGGGGTTGATTAGGCGGCATAGCGCGATAGAGGCAAGTATAACACGAAATGACGCGTTCATATACGCGAATTAGTAGGCTTTAGCAGCTCTAGAAAGAGTGCGATAACGTAAGGGTCATCGCGGAAGTATAGCTGACTAACATTGCTGGTACTAGTATTAGTAAGCGAGGCTCAACACCATGTGCTCGCATGGCAAACTCAATAGCCTCACTAAAATTAACGCTAAAATATCAAGCCAATCAAGCCAATCAATCAAGCCTTTGCCCCTAAGGCTTGATTGATTGCAAAACTACCAGGCGGAGGCTTGACTTGATTGACTTGCAGTTTTCGTCAAGCCTCAATCAAGTGCTTGTTTGCAGCTTGATTGTTGACAAGTCTGCCGACGAGTCGATGAGTCGTTTCTTCTTGGCCCGCCTCTTGTTTGAGCGATGAGTGGCTCCAGAACAGAAGAGTGTGGCCTTGAAGACAAATAAAATGACGGTCCCTGGTCGCGTTGATAGCGCCAATGATCGTCGTACAGATGACTCAGTCGTAGGGTCGATCCAGCCACTGCCACTTCTTGCAACGTATGGCGATATGGAAGACCGTTCGTTTTTTCGAAAAGGCCTGAACAAGGGTGTCCACCCTGATGTTGTCTCTGCTCCTTCTGGCGGAGAAGGTCCTGTTGCCTGATGCGCTCGATCGCTGGCGGCGTCAAGACGTTGTGGATGCCAGGAGGCAGGAATGGCATTGCTTCTAGTCTATGCTCAAACTTAACACTGTGTTTAGAAGAAGCAATGTCCTTGCTGTACTTGTTGTATTGGCAGACTTGCCAACAAGCAAGCCGATCAAGCCGATCTAACCTAATATGGTAATTGACTAACTCGCGTACGTTAAGATCTTACTGAATTTAGTTAGATCGGCTTGATTGGCTTGCTTGTTGGCAAGTGTGTGTATTGGCTCCTGACCATTTGCTCAATTCTCCCAACGACACGCAGCAAATCGCCTCTTGAGGTCATGAGATAGTCCTTCAAGACCTTGTGCATCCCTTCGACAGGTGAGCTTGTAATAGTGTTATAGTGTCGGTGGTGCGAAGTCCAAGCGGCTGCCCACTCGGTGCGTGTGAGATATTGGTTGTCTCGCAGGTACCTGCAAAGTTCTTGTTGGTGGCTGTAGTCCTTGAGTAATTCATCCCACTTAAGTTGGAACTCTAATGGTCTCTTTGCGTAGACAAGCTGCTCGAGTCAGTTCTGCGAAAAACTTGTAAGACGCTTCGAAGGAAAGCTTCCTTCGATGTATTGTAGAGTTAGGGTGGGCATACCTGCGTCCAGCGCTTCATGAACCCAGCCCTGTATTCTGCGATCCTCTTCTTCTCCTCTCTCGTCACGCCATCGGCATCTCGCCAAGTCTGTTGCGCCTTCGTCTGAATATTCTTGTTGATATGCCACACGCACAAGAGTTGAGGAACTTCTGGGAGCAACGATCGAGCTGTCATCTTTAATGCTTCCTCTTGATCACTAATAAACACACGGGGCTTTTGTACACCTGTTTTGAGGAGAAAGTTCGCGATCGCCCAATGGTAATCAGCTTGGGTCTCATTGGTAAGGAAGCAGAAGCCTGCAGAATAGAAAGTCTGCAAGTTGGTGCAGCCGAGTATGTGTAGTAGTGGAAGTTTGTACTTGTTGGTCCGGTATGTACAATCCATCAGCAGCACATCGGGATTGGCCCGCAGCATCTCAATCTGCTTCTGATGGGCGAAGAAGAGGTTTTGGACGTGGTTGTTGTCATCCTTCTTGACCGCGAAGACCCAGTCTGACGTAGATAGGTTGTCCAGCAACGCCTCGATTGGACTCCTTCCACTTAATTGTTTCTCTCGAACTGCTTTTCTCTCGCTCCGGATGTCGGTAGCAGAGACTAGCGTGTCATGGTCCTCCTTTTGGATTGCAGCTAGGATCTGCATCGGCCGCGCGCCAGCATGCGTCATCGATTCGATCACTTCCTTCTGTGCAGACGTTCGCCTGCGATAGACGTTGTGCGCGCTTGGGTTAATGGATCGAGGGTGGTTATGATGCTTATCCTGAACCTCTAGCTTCCACCGGTCGCTGTGCTTCGTCTTAAAGATGACCAGCTTGAAAGGACATTCTGTTAAGCGCGTGCTTGTGCTCAGTATCTTCGCGGTTGACTAGTACTTCCGGAATCGGTCACAGTGGTAGTAATATCGTGTTTTAACATCGGAATTGTGAGGTTTACTCCGTTTTAGGACAAAGCCGTAACCGTGTTGCATGCCATGCGCCTTAAGAGCATTATACGCTTCTTCGTAGGAGTCATATAAAAGATCTAGAGGTGGCTGGATGTCTTCCATACTTAGGCGCCAGAGGAAGTGAAAACGATCCTAATACTAAAAGTGATGTGGACGATTTCATGTGCTGCAGAGACGCGCAGGTTTCGCGCAGGTCTCGCGTTCGTGGATTACGCGCTAAGCTAAGTTGGGCAGCTGATTTCCACTAGCACTAGCGCGGGGGACAAATCTCAAAAACGGGGGGACAAATCACGCCAGCCGTCTGCACATTACACAGAACACCGAGCCTACAAGGGTCCCTGCATCGCTTAGCTTGGCCTTAGCCTCATTGAGAATAGCCCCTACATAAATAATTACCACAAATGATCCGAGAAGGCGAAAGCTCACTAATACCTAGTTGTAGTCATCACGATATCATATGGAGTGTATGGAGCACGGCAGCAAAGACAATAGCAAAGACAACCAAGTCATTCGCATCCTGACTTTCTAGATAGTTATGCCACGCTTCACCGTGATATCGCTAAAGAGTATCCTGCTAGAGTGCCGTTATTCGATCGTTCTCCTTCGCCTCGAGGTCCGCTCCAAGATCCAGCCGCAGCCGCACCATTGCCTCGTTCTCTCTCAAAAGATGATGCTGCCGAGTGCAGCACCGTCTCCCCATCATTGCTCGTCGCCTTGACATCCGCTCCAAAGTTCACCAGCAGCCGCACTACTACCTCTGCCCCTTCCTCAGCTGCCCAGTGCAGCGCCGTCTTCCCATCGTTATCCCTCTCTTCGATATTTGCACCTCTATCTAACAGTAGCTGCACCACAGCATCCTTTCGCTTTCTTGCTGCCCAGTGTAGCGCTGTCGTTCCGTCATTGTCCTTCGTCTTAACGACTGCTCCTCTGCTAATCAGCAGCTGCGCGAGTGCCTCTCCTCCATTCCACAAAGCTGCCCAATGTAGTGCCGTCTTCCCGTTGTCGTCTTTCGCCTGCACGTTCGCTCCAGTATAGATCAAAAGCTGCACTATTGCCTCATTGCCTGCTCGAGCTGCCCGGTGCAGGACTGTCTCCCCTCCATCAGAGATGCCAACAATCAAGTCAATCAATTTGAGGCCGCCGATTGAGCTTGATTGAAGTTTTATGAGGTCGCGATTGAAATTGATTTAATTGAAGCTGTTTTAGAGTCGTAATTGATTGAAGTTTTAATGCTCTTGATCATGTTTGATATGCAATCTAGGGCGATCTTATATGGCTGCCTCTAGTTATCATTCTCCCACTCGCATATATCATAGATTCTGATCACCTCCTGATCAGTAAGGCTATCCTCCTGGCTATAAGGAGGCTTGAAACCTGCTTTTCTCTAACTCCGGGTACATTAGATAGCCGCTAGCAGTTGAGATCCGATCTTCCGCCTGCGGGGCTCTAATAGGTCGCCAAGCTCGCTGAACAGGCGCTCGCATTAACAGCTACTAGCTGGTAGAGTGAGCAGATCGATTGCCAATCGCGATAGATTTAGATATCGCGATCGCAGGCTGATCCAATACTTAACTGGATTACCCTCCTGCTCAAACTGCTCTTTTATCCACGCTGGCTCATATCGCCGCTAGCAATTAAGCTCGTCTATCTTTAATATATCCACCTCGTTTGCAGGCTCAAAGTTGACAAGCGCAGCGATTGCGTCGTCAATACCGCCTGATTGCGGCGGCCTCGGGCGCGTAACTGGCAGCGATATAGGCTTATATCGCGCCCACAGTTGCTGCAACTCTGCCTCGTTTGAGACAATCCAGTGAGGCTTCTCGCGCCAGCTGTTTAAGCAGTAGTTCTTGTAGTATGGGTGGAGGCAAGTTGCGCTATAGTAGGCGGGCGAGGCATCGAGTTTGGTATAGTAAGCGGTGGCCTTGCGCCAGGCAGCTTTGAGGTTGATCGCGAGGTGATCTTCTGGAGCCTCAGGATGAGCGTTGAAGTCGACGTGATCGTAGGTCCTGAGTATCGCCTCGTAAGCTCCAAGTACGTATTCGAATACTGGGATAACCTCGTATATAGCTCCAAAGCTTCCTTGTTTACCGCGCGCCTCAAGGCGTTTTGTAGCCTCCTTGAGCGGCTTCAACACATCGATATACTCAGTTATCACCGCCCAATCTGCTGCTTTTAGCCCGCCAGATCGCATCCAAGAGGGCGCGTCAGGTAGCTTGTTATCGCGCGAGTGCGCATATGCGTCGTCGCGCGCGGTGCGATCAATATGAGTGTTGGCGTATAGGTTGAAGGTTTCTGACAACTGAACTGCGCGCTCAAAGGCGTCGTGATAGCTGTTCCATCGCGTAACAACAGGCTTGATTGGCTCTAGTATTGTTTTTGTGTGCGATTGATCGTTGACTGAGCGCTGAAGCGATGCGAACAAATCATGTTGCTGAGGCGTTTTGATGTAGTTGATGATATCGATTAGTACTCCTAGCGGACCGTCTCTTCGCCAGTCTCGCAGGTATCGCGCCTCTGTATCATGTTCGTTAACAATGTCGTTGTTATACGCCTCCTTGTCAAGTCCAAACATGATTGTCTGGCCTACAAGGTTGAGCGTGTGAGGTGCGCAGCGGAGGCGGCGATAAGGAGCTTCGAAGTCGTATAACTCGCTGAGTTTGGCGACAGCTTGATCGTTTGAGGATGCGTTATCGAGGACGAAGTAGCCTAGCTTAGAGCGATCAATACTGAACTGTTGCAGCGTCTTTGCAACTATATCAGCAATCCGATCACCGCTGTGAGCACCGGTAAGCTGCGGTAGCGCAATAGGCAGGTCCCTAATGTTACCACAGGCGTCAGCGTAATGAGCGACAATACCAAAAAAATCCTCGTTTGCCACCCTTTGTCGTCTACCCGTCAAAGCTGATATGGATCTGACTAATCGATCGCGACAGATCGTTGACAACCTGCGGTTCAAGGTGGCGATAGAGCCTCATAACAAAGCTCGCGACGCTAGTACGACTCACCCATAGAGCTTCTGCCGCCTCTGGATTGGCGTACGCTATCATCTCACGGAAAGCTGGAGTCTTAAACTCGCGGAGAGCGTGGTTGTTATCAACTAACCAGCTAACAGCAGCGTATCGAAAGTCTTGTACGTTGAAGTTTCCGATCTGATTTGCGACCTCCTGCGATACAGCAACCCCGCTATCGTTCAGTAATCGCAGGGACGTCTGACCTCGAGGTAGCGCAGCCCTGGCGAGCTGGCCCTGACGGTTGAGGCGGTGGCCAACTCTGTTCTGTGCTATGTGAGTTATCGCAGCAGTTGTTGATAGCGTCACCTCTATCGTCTGCTTCCCCTCTGATTTCTGATGTTTATAGCAATGCCTACAGATCCAGAAAGTTCTCTGCGGATTAGCTATCAAGGCGAGGCGATAGCCGTGCTCAAAGACCCAGCTTTTCCTGCCCTTGAGCGTCCTCAGCGGCTTCATAAACCGCGGTATATGAGCCCAATCAAGGCCATCGTGCCTATCCTCAAAGCGACTATCGAGCTCGCCTCCATCGTAGTTATCAGACGCCTCAGTTGAAGCCTCTGTAGTAGCTCGTGAGCCCTCGGTTGGCGGATTAATCGCGTTATCGGGCAGTAGGTTGCGCAGCTGCGATTCGAACGGAGCCTCGTCTGTAGCTTGGCTAGCTGCAACCTTAAGGGCTTTGCGCGGTGAGGTTCGTACAGGCAGCTCAGACTGCGATTGAGAGTTGTTGACTTTGACGCGTTTATTTGACGCAGCAACGCGATTAGCAGCGCGTTTAGAGGCCTTTAGAGGCATAACGGATAGTTACAGCGCGTAAGAAACTTAGAAATAACGATCGCGATGGGCGCTGATATAAGATATAGGCTGATGTTAAACGCTGATAGTATGTTGCAGGGTAAGCTGAATCAGAAGGTTGCTTACTAATCGAAACTCAACACCACTAATCCATCACTATATTGATATTATCTACAGCCTAGCAATCTCATTAGATACCTCGAAAATCGCGCTACAGTTAGCACATAATCAAGCTAATCAATCAAGTTAATCAAAAATAGGGCCTCGATTTGTTCTTGATTGAGAAAACGCTATAGGCGAATTGATCTTGACTTGTTTGAGCTTTTGGATCAAGAATCAATCAAGTCAATCAAAATGCTTGTTTGTTGGCATCCCTGACGTCGAGCAATGGGTTCGGAACTGTCACACTTGTAGACGAATTACGACGTCACGAGAAGCAAAACAAGGAGTCCTGAAACCGTTACCAATACCTAACCGAGCCTGGCAAGATCTGTCGATGGACTTTATCACGCACCTGCCTAAGAGTAGTGGATTTGACGCTATCTTAGTCGTAGTAGACAGACTCACTAAGATGAAGCACTTTGTTGCTTGCCAGGGTACCTGCGACGCCGAGGAGGTATCGCGCCTATTCACGAAGTACGTCTGGAAGCTACACGGCCTCCCCAAGACTATCGTATCAGACTGAGGACCACAGTTCGTATCCGAGTTCTGGAGCCACCTAACCCGACGCCTAGGGATCTAGCCCCTCCTGTCTACTGCGTACTACCTAGAAACTGACGGGCAAACGGAGAGAGCGAACTCCTTCCTAGAACAGTACTTGCGAAGCCAAGTTTCGTACCTGCAGGATAACTGGGCGAGATAGCTACCGCTAGCCGAATTCGCGGTAAACAACGCCAACAACGAGAGCACCCGCACAACGCC